TAATTGCTGTCCTTGAAGAGAAGAGCCCCTGGAAGAGACGTAACTTCCATAGTCCATGCTAAATGCAAGGACAAGAGCGAGTGCTGGGTGTTACAGGGACCATACACCTGCATCTGTAAGGAGATCCTTCCTAGCCACGAGGGTCTAAGGCTCTTAGACTCTAAGCACTCAAAGAACGTTGTCATAGGAGACGATGTTGACACTGATTCTCTTTCATCCTTAAAGACCTAGAAATCCAAGAAATTCTTTGTGAGGAGGTGGAGAGGGAGATATTGGAATTCCTGTTTAAATGGTTGAACTCTGGGGCAAATCCGCTGAAGAACTGATATAAACTTACAAGCTGATGGTGATCAAAATGAGCTCTTGGGGCAATGGTATGTTGGGATCTGATATTGAAATCTGTGGAAGGAAGTATAAAGATGTGGTACTGGGACTGAAGCTTTTAGGAAATAAACTGGTATTTTCTGAAGGACAATAGGACACTCCTTTATTCGATCTTTTGGAGGTCCAGTCCACCTGGACGTTAACAGTTGTAGGTCACAATGGATTTAGAAGATGTCTGTGTCTATTTCCGCTAACAGTGTAAGTTCTGGGAGAAAAGAAGAGATCTGTCTACCACCGATCTCCAGCACCTAGGACATCATGGCCCCAACTTGCGAAACGACGGAACAAATGATTTCTACTTTTGGTAACATCTTTGGAACGATTTAGAAGATGTCTGTGTCTATTTCCGCTAAAAGTGTAAGGTCTGGGAGAAAGAAACAGATCTTTTTTAACCACCGATCTCCAGCACCTGGGACATAAAGACTCAACTTGCTAAATGACTAAACAAATGATTTCTACTTTTGGTAACATCTTTGGAACCTGATGGTATGTATATATACCGATTTAGAAGATGTCTGTGTCTATTTCCGCTAAAAGTGTAAGGTCTGGGAGAAAGAAACAGATCTTTTTTAACCACCGATCTCCAGCACCTGGGACATAAAGACTCAACTTGCTAAATGACTAAACAAATGATTTCTACTTTTGGTAACATCTTTGGAACCTGATGGTATGTATATATATACACCTTGGCTTTTCTCTCTCTCTCCCTTTTTTTTCCATCTTTCTTTCTTATTCATTTTTTTCATGCACTCACTTTATTTCCTTCTGGGAGTGAAGCAGGACTGTTTTAATGGAAAGACAGGAAGCTTTCATGCCAACACAGAAAACATATCATTTGAAAATAGGTGTTTTCTTAGAGTAAATTCCCTTGGGCCTTTTAATGTACACTGAACAAGGCACCTTATCTTTCCTTCTCTCTCTCTCTCTCTCTCTCTCTCTCTCTCTCTCTCTCTCTCTCTCTCGTATGATGCCTAACACACAGCATGTGGCATAGAGTATCTGTTTCAATAACATGTGTTTAATTGGAAGACTTTATGCCCAATAATTTAGCTAAGCTCTTTCTCTGCACAATTTAAGGCTAATTTGGAATGCTTAAACATGACAGGGAAATTTTCGTCTGAATTTCCTCAAGAGGTGATTAATGAATAAGAATTAACAAATCAATTGACAAGACATTGAGAGCAGATTTAGTACCAGGCCCAGACAGTTGCACAGACCACCGCCTTCCTCTGTTCCTGCCCAGCCTCCCTGAGCTCTCAGGCCCTGTGGGGCTGCCCACAGAGGTGGTGCCTGTGCCCTCCACCTACCCTTTCCTGCAGCCTGACCGTGGGCAAAGGCCGAGTCCTGAAGAGACAGAGAAGTCCATATAGTGTAGTGGGATTTACAGCACAGATCTGCATTCTTACAAAGAATGGAAAAGCCTTAAAGTGCATTAGAAGACACTGCAGAGTGTATTGAAAACCATGCCCCTACTGTGTTCTCTGTCCTCAATGCGACCCCCACTCCCTCCCCCGGACACCCTCAGGTGTCTCTCACCCCGCACCCGCCATTACCTGTGTAATTCCTATGAAAACGCTAAAGCAGGAATTCGTGGCAGAACAGCTCAGGTCCACAAGGGTTTGCCTCAGTGCTCGTGCCCTGTGTGCATCCCCTCTGATTTCATTCTACAGATTAAGGCAGTAGGTAATACTTTTTTTTTTACTTTTTTGTAACAATCCCATGCACCCCCTAAGTGTACCCATAATTAACCCATTAGCTGGGTTTGCTCATAGAGATACTTTGGCCAAATTGTCCCTTTCACTCCTCCGAGGGCTGCTCTGGGGGACCCTCTCTTGCATCCTCTTCCTGTGGACCTAGGATGTCGGTGTTTGGAGCATTCTCCACCACCCACTGACACTCGTAGACACGGGGACCCTTCACCTCCTCTGCACCCACGCCGGCAGCACCCTGGGCTGGGCCACTTTTCCCTCCCACTGCGTCTTCCACAGAGACCTGGCTCTCCCTGGGGCCCACGGGGTCAGAGTTTAAAATGCAGCCTCCCTGTGGCACGGCCTTACCCCCTTCATGGGCGTCCCTCCCGGTGGGCTCTCCAGCCTCCGCCTGCTCCTCCGTGGGGCCTGGGCCGCTGGGGCCCTGGCTGAGCCCCCCGCAGGCTGGCTGAGCCCCTGAACATCCCCCCGACTCCACCCCACTGGCCCCGGCCTCGGCCTTGACCTCAGCAGCTGGAGAACAGGCCTCCCTCTCCCCGACTCCACCTTCTTCACTGTCGTCCTGATTGGAGGCAGCTGCTTCAGTGGCCTCCGTGTGGACTTGGGTTTGGGTCATTTCCTCTTCTTTGTCAATTTCTTGGGGAACAACGGTCTCCGGGTGTGTATCTTTTTCAGTCTCGAGGGTGGCAGACACCGTGGGTACCTCGACGGTCACCGTCAACAAACTTCTGAGCTCCTTCAAGGAGCATGAGGCAGAGAGGGATTGTGGTTCCTGGAGGGTGGCGGCTTCTCTGTCCGCAGGAGTCCCTGCAAACTCCAGCTCTGATGAGTGGGTGCCCCAGGCTCCTGCTGTGTCCTCTGCAGCCAGGGGGTCCACGACAGGGTCCCCGGTGCCTGAACGAACCCCCTGCGCGTCCCCATCTGGGGAAGAAAGGCTTTCTCCTTGGGCCAACGGACTGGGGACCCCAGGCTGCTGCTTTCCCTCTGGTTCCGGGAACACGTCGTTACTGGGGGTCTCACCATCGGCCACTCCGAGCAGAATGGCCGAGGCTCTCCGGGCGGGGCTGGCCTGGCTGGACCCCACGGGGGTCTTCAGGTCGGTCAAGCTGGACACACTCTCACTGGGCAAGGCCATGTTGTCTTCAAACAGGTTGTGTTTCTTCAGGATCGCTGCTTCCTTTATCACTGGGACACCAGAACACAAAACACGACGTTAACGCCCTGCCCCGGCCAAACGGCTTTTCTTGATTTTGGAATTAGGGTAGCGGTCGTACGCCAATTACCATGTTTCTCTTTTATTAGATAGGATAACTCATGTCTTACATTTCTCAGCAGAGACTTAATATCCTTCCAGGTAGCCCTCCCTGAAGAACTCAGCCTCATTCCGGACTCTGGACCTCTGGGGTGTTCATTCCTTCACGTATTTCATTTACTCAGAGAGCAAACACTGGACACAGACTAGGGGACAGGCTCTGGGAACGCAAAGATGAATAAAACGCGGCCTTGGCTAGCAAGGAGCTCACAATCAGTAATGTTATCACCTGGATCGCTCATGAGGCCCCCGCCACATTTTATTAGCTCTTATCTGTGCGGTTCCAGTCTATCCATGGTGACCGAAATGCCTCCAGGGCATTAAGGAGCAGGACGTAGATTTCTCTACTTTTTCCCACAGACCAGCCCTGAGGGTGAACCTGCTCAGTACAGGTTCTCAGTACTAAACATGTAGAGAGAACCCTGTTGGCCTGTTGTCTCCAAAATGGATTTGGCTACCTTCGCCCTAGCATGTTTGCTGTAGATGTCTTTGCCACAAGCATTAATGTGTGTGTGTGTGTGTGTG